GGTTCAGAGTCTCTTCTGTCATCCACTTTGGTCTTCTTTTCTTTTGTTGTCTTTTTAGTGCTCTCTTGCTTTCTTCATGGATAATGTTCTTGATATCTTCCCATAATTCATTTGGCTTTCGGTCATTGGTGTTCAATGTATCAAATCTATTCTTTAGATGATCTCTAAATTCAGGAGGGATATAGTCAAGATCATATTTTGGCTCTCTTAGACTTGTTTTAATTGAGTAGTTTGAAATTAAGAATTAACATAATAACAACATAATAAATAATGATAATAAATAATGTCTCATTTAATATAATACTATCCTTCAGTAGGAGCTCTCATGGTGCAGTGGTTATGGCATTTGGCTGCTAACCAAAAGGTTGGTGGTTCGAACCTACCAGCCACTCCACAGGAGAAAGGTGAAGCAGTTTGCTTCTGTAAAGATTTACAGCCTTGGAAACACTATGGGAGTCACTATGAGTCGTAGTCAACTTGATGGCAGTAAGTTTGGTTTTTGGTTTTGATTTTATCCTTTAGTGATCTTGTGAAAGAAGGAAAAGAGTAAAATCAATTAAGTTCTTACAAATGGCAATTAAATACCATTCTATTATAGTGTACTATATAGAAGACTTGTATTGAAGTTTTTAACTTGTCATGCCTTTTATTTTTTTCTGTATTTTTGATATGCAATCAAGAAAACAAAGAGGTAAAGCCCTATTTCCTATATTTCAGTTTACTTCCAGTAATAGTGATTTTATGGAAAAATTGAAAGAATTTTCAATTAATGTTTTCAGAAAGAAGAAACAGAAGGAGAGACTGAATACAAATTTGAATGGCAGAAAGGAGCCCCACGGGAAAAGTAAGGACTGGTTGGTTTTTGTTTTTGTTTTTTAAGATAAAATATATATCATTAAAGTTACCTTTTAATTAACTAGAGAAGACAACTGATATAAAAAGATGTTTTTTATGACCCTCTTATACAACTAATCTGCTTGGCCATAGTCTTTTTTGTACTTTCTCATATTTTTTAATCATAAATCATCAGACTGGACACCTATAATGATTATTAAGTAGCTTTTGAAAATAATGAATAGATTTTATAGTTGTATGTACCTATTGAAGTAATACATTTTATGATGTTCTTAGAACTGTAAAACTGCTTTTCAAATTAATTGCTGTTTAATTTATTACATTTTTCTTAAATTATGTATTTTCTCTATTTAATAGATATGCCAAAGATGACATGAACATCAGAGATCAGCCCTTTGGTATTCAGGCAAGTGATACTTATTTTATTCTATATGAATAATTTTTATTTAGTAAATGTTTCTTTATATTGTGCAAAAGGTATTTGAGCTGAAAAGAGTGCTATGTTTCTATTTGTATCAGATAAGAGAAGGAATAGAGGAGGAAGAATCAAATGCAATAGACTGATAAAAGATAGAAATCAAAAGTTCTGTGAGTGAGGGTTATAGTTATACTGGTCTCTGCTGTTTTTAAGGAATTTGGAGGATTTACTCAAGGTCAAGAAAAGAAGTAAACTGTTATTAGTTTAGAACCAAGACAAACTACCACCAGAAGCGAAATTCTTGTTGTAAATAAAGTGTTATTGGAACACAGCCACATTCATTCATTTGCATATTACTATGGCTGCTTTTGCCCTACAACAGTAGAGTTGAGTAGTTGCAACAGAGACCATTTGACCTGTGAAGCTTAAAATATTTCGTATCTGGCTCTTTACAGAAAAAGTTTACAGCCTCTGGTTTAGAAAATGAAAACTTTGAAGATTAACTTACTAAAATTAGAGTATTTAAGATTAAGCCATAGCTTAATTCTTTTTTTAATATGTATTTCACCATATCTTTTGGGTGGTAATTATTATATTACCACTAAGTAAGTAAGAAGTAGAAAGAAGTAGGATTCATCTTAACTATGAAGCAGAATTGGTACTAGAAGATTTTGGTATCATTATAAGTTACCAAACCCAATTATGGAGTTTCTTTCCTGGAGATTTTTAAAAATAAGAGTAATTTAATTTAAACTCTGCCTAGGAATAGAGAGTTAAACATTGGTTAGATTTTTAGTATGTTAGTAACCAAAATAATGATCACTATTTCTCAGGTTCGAAACGTGAGGTGCATTAAATGTCATAAATGGGGCCATGTCAATACAGATCGAGAATGTCCTTTGTTTGGTCTTTCTGGAATCAATGCAAGTTCAGTTCCTACTGATGGCTCAGGTAGGCACTAGACATGATTTATTTGTTTTGGAGTTTATGCCAAGTACGAACAAGGAAAGATAAAATAATATTTTTCTTTAATCTCTGGATTTTTGTTGTTGTTGTTATGTTTTCTGTTTTCTTGGACTAAGGCACATTTCCAGAATTTGGTGGTAAATGGGAAAATCTGATCATATATTCTGAGTTTGAAATACAGTGTAATGAAATTAAATATACTTTTTCTAGCAAAGAGCTCTATTAACTTGATTTTAAAAGCAAACGATATGTACTTGTTGTTTTATGCTCTCGAGTCAGTTCTGACTCATAGCAACCTGTAAACAGTAAAATCCTATAGAATTTTCTAGGCTATAATATTTATTCATTTATCTTTATTTGAAACTGGCATTAAAATTTATTTCAGCTAGAGAACTGAAGGAATTGGAAACAGTAAGTTGTACAAATATTCATAGTAGCAAAACCCACAACAATGTGGCTATCCATAACATAGATTATAATGGCAGAATGGATGCTACAATCCACTGCTATCAGCTGATCCAATCCTTAGCAACCCTATAGGACAAAGTAGAAGTGCTCAATAGGGACATAAAAGATCATAAGCCATTTCCAGGAACTGAAAAACACCCCTGCGATGCTTCCCTCCTATGGTGTAGGACATAATATTGATGAGAGCAGATCTCCAGGTCCTTTCTTCCAGGTTGCTGCTAGTGGGTTCAAACCACTTGCCTTTTGGTTAGCAGTCTAACTCTTAACCATGGCACCAATTGGGCTCCTCAAGGGATATGTTAAACATTATTTATCAGGTCAGTAACCTAAAAATGGGAGGGGGTTCTTTCTCAGAGTCATATCCTCCTGAATTGCAAAATGTAGGGCATTCAGTGATTATAGTTAAAATGCCTTGTAGGATGAAGTTATTTTTTAAATCTGTAAGATTTTTAGTAGCTCTACTTTTATAGTGAAAGTTAATTCTTGGAACTAAAGTTTCTTTCTTTATGAAATAATTGTATTTGGCAACTATGTATTTGACATCCTTTATATCACCCAGTAAGTTTTCTTCTTTCGAGGTTCTGTGTTCTAAGCTCAGGAAATATGAGTTCCATCCCTGGTTTACAATCTAATGAGTAAGACAAAATTATCATATTATATAAGAATTTAGTAGAGAATAATGGAATCTAAATTATATAGTTAAAAGAGGAGGTAGGACCAAAGTGATTTTTGAAGGATTGTTAAGATTTAGACAGGTAGAAAGAAACCAAAAAAATCAAACCCATTGCTCATAGCAATTCTAACTCGTAGCAACCCTATAGAACAGAGAAGAACTGCTCTATAGGGTTTCTAAGGCTGTAATCTTTATGGAAACAGACAGCTATATCTTTCTTCCATGGAGCAGCTGGTATGTTCAAACTCCCAGCCTTTTGGTAGGCTGCTGAACATTTTAACCACTGCACTACCAGGGCTTGATGAGAGAGGACAGAACAGAAGGAAAACACAAGCAAAGTAATAAATGTGGTATGTGGGATAAGCCTGGAATGACAGATTTATCTTGGACAACTTTAAATGATTGGGATCAGATTTTTAAATGGCTCTGAAAAAGCTGGGTTTTTGAGTTTGGGTCACTGGTGCTGTGGCCACTGTTTCCTATAAACTTCTCTAATGTAAAGGGTTACTTAAGTTTTTGTTTAAAATATTAGTGCCATGATGCTATAGAAATAAAAAGGATCTTAAGAGAATATTATGAGCAATAAATTATATAGCCTAGAAGAAATGAACAAATTTCTAGAAACGAATAAACTTCCTACATTGACTGAAGAAGGAATAGAAGGCCTCAACAAACTATTAACAAGTAAAGAGAATCGGTTATCAAAAACCTCCCAAAAACCAAAAAGTCTGAGACCAGATGGCCTCAGTGAGGAATTCTACCAAACATTTATAGAACTGACTCTAATGCTTCTTGAACTTTTCCAAAATGTAGAAGAGGAGGGAATACTTCCCCACTCATTCTAGTAGGCTAGCACTACTCTGATACCAAAGCCAGACAAAGACACCACAAGAAGAGAAAACTACAGATCAATATTCCTTATGAATATAGATGCAGAATTCCTCAGCAAAATACTAGCAAACCTAATCCAAAAGCATACTAAAAGGAATATACACCATGATCAAGTGGGATTTATCCTAGAAATACAAAGGTAGGCCACCATTAGAAAAATCAATCAATGTAACACACCCATTAATATAACAAAGGAAGAGAATCACATGATCATCTCAGTCGACACAGAGAAGGCAATTGACAAAAATCCAACACTCTTTCATGATAAAAACATTCAACAAGCTAGGAATAGTACAAAGTACATAGTGGCACCGTTACAATACTTCTTATACAAACCAAGCACCTCGTGGGATGGGTGTTCTGCTTTGAAGGCTTAAGACCACAGTCTCATGGGACAACTAAGTCAATTGGCATAATAGAGTTCATGAAACTTTTGTTCTACATCCTAATTTGGTAAGTAGTATCTGGAGTCTTAAAAGCTTGTGCGTGGCCCTTTAAGATACAGATACTGGTCTCTGCTCATCCATTGTGAAAGAGGAAGGAAACCAAAGACTCAGAGAAGAAACTGGTTTATAGGACTAATAGTCTACATGAGTCAGTCTCATCTACCCTGAGACCAGAACTATCTGGTGCCCATCTACCGCAACCAACTGCTCTGATCAGGACAACAGTTGATGGATCCAGATATAATGGGAGAAAAATGTGGAACAGAACCTCAAATTCTTTAAAAAAATATTTTAAAAAATCCGGATTTACTGAACCAGTTAAGATCGGAGGACTCCCTGAGACTATTGCCCTGAGATGATCTTTAAACCTTGAACCAAAACTATCCCAAGGTCCCCTTTTAGTTAAATAACAGATTGGCTCCCAGAATAAAGAATATCACCTGTGAGTACTTCTCTCCTTTAAAAAATCATCTGTGTGAGACCAAATGGTCAGTGATCATTTTAAAAACAAAGATAAGAAGGTTAGGGGTTAGGGAAACTCAGTTGCTAGAAGTGGAACAACCAGAATGAAAATGAATGTTCACACATTCTGAAGAATGTCACCAATGCGCAGAACAATTTGAGCAGAAATTGTTGACTGGGAACCTGATCTCCTGTGTAAACTTTTACCAAAAACATAGTAAAATATTATTTAAAACAGTCAAGCTAGGAATAGAAAATCCTTAGTCTGATAAAGGCCATTTACAAAAAACACACAGCTGACATCATACTCAGTGTTAAGACTAAGTGGTTTTCCTGTTAGGAACAAAACAAAAATGCCCACTCTTACCATGGGTATTCAAGATTGTACTGGAATTTCTAGCTACAGCAATTTGACAAGCAAAAGAAATAAAAGATACCCAGATAAAGAAGGAAGAAGTAAAACAATCCCTTTTTGCAGATAACGTAATTCTGTATATAGAATACCACAAAGAATCCACAAGAAAGCTACTAGAGCTAATAAATGAATTCAGTAGAGTGGTAGAATACAATAAGTTCAACATACAAAAATCAGGTTTTTATACATCAGCAATGAGCATCCTGAAAAGGAAATTAAGGAAACAACTCAATTTACAATAACATCTAAAAGAATAAAATACCTAGGAATAATTTTAACCAGAAAGGTGAAAGATATGTACACTGAAAACTATAAAACATTACAGAAGGAACTTGAAGACCTAAGTAAATAGCAAGACATCCCAAGTCTATGGGTTGGAAGACTAATATTGTTAAGATGTCATTATTGCCTAAAGCAATCTATAGATTAAAAATTCTAACAGCTTTTGTAGAAATGGAAAAGCCAGTCCTCAAATTCATATGGAACTGCAAGACACCTCAATTAGGCAAAGCAATCTTGAAAACTAGAACAAAGTAGAACTCACATTCCCAATTTCAAAACATACTATGAAGCTACAGTAATCAAAACAGCCTGGTACTGGTATAATGATAGACATACAGACCAATAGAATAAATTTGAGAGTCCAGAAATGAGCCCATACATCTATGGTCAATTGATTTTTGATATCATTTTAATCATCAAATGTTTCATGATCCCACTTATATGAAATAACTAGAATAGGCAAGTATATAGAGGCCAGAGTTTATTAGTGATGCTCAAGGGCAGGCCGGAGGGAGGAGAAAAGGAAGAGTCATTGCTTCAGGGACCCTGAGCTTCTGGTGAAGGTAACGGAAAAAACTGGAAATCGATAGTGCTAATAGTTGAACAACATGATGTGTTTAACATCACTGAACTGTACAGTAAAACCTGTGAAATACAATATCTGTGTAAGGTGGAATCCTACCAGAAGAGGAAAACTCAGATATTTTCCAGTAAAATGAACAATAGAAGAGTAGTAAGACCACACCCTGTCAAAGGCGAAAAATTTTCAAGACACAGAAAATCAAGGCACTTCCATCGAGTTCTGGCTCTCATAGGTTTCACTGTACATGTGAAAACTGTTGAATTGGCAAATGCTTTGTTAAATATTTTCATTACAGTTATTTATATATACATGTATTGCAAAACCCCTATCACACCCAGATGATGCATGTGACCTGCATGTTTGGGAAAACATGATGTATTTACAATTGTAGTCAAAACTGATACCATAGAATATTCTATGTATGTGTGTGTTTTTGTAAGAAAAATATAATTGAAAAGGAAAGGTAGTAATCTGTTGAAAGAGCTTTTATCAGAAAGACCTTAAAATGATTATGTTCATTTCCATATCATTTTTAATTTTCCACTGTTGTAAACAATCTAAAACCCAGCACTTGGAGGATAGCAAAGCAAAAAGTGGATATGTTACCAAAAAACCAAACCCACTGCCATTGACTCAATTCCAGCTCATAGCAACCCCTATTGAGTTTCTGAGGTGGTCAGTCTTTATGGAAGTAGATTGCCCCATTGTCCTTCCAAAGAGTGGTTGGTGGGTTTGAACCTCCAGCCTTCTGGTTAGCAGTCAGAT